GTACCTCCGACTCACTAACATCTCTCTCTCTCTCTCTCTTCCTGCGGAAAGGGAATTGTCCACTTCCATGTTTGTGAATCAGACTGTGGGTAACATATGGAAACATATGGGAATATGTGGATCAATGGCCAGTGACCCTCGAGCGTGCCATGCGCACTGGTGAAGAGCCGCTCTCGCATGACACCAGCAATGTGAACGCGGGCGTGCAAGATGCTGCTCTTAGGCCTCAGCAGGGAAGAAACAGCTGCATGGCCTCTACACTGGCATACACTGAAAACAAGAAACACGACCACTTCAGTTGTTGCGATGTTGTGCGGCCGTCACCCCTTCCCCCTTCTCTCCCACCTCTGCACCATGATGCTGAAGTTGCCATCTTTTAGCATCTTACCTGGTGAGTTTGTCGACAAATTTCGGCAATATCAAACCCTATCTTTCAAACCCGGATGGATGTTCGGTTTTTGTTTATCTTGTTTCAATGGCCCGCGCATGTCTGGATAACTTAGCAGGGACGGGACGACACAGGACGAGACACGGATGACTTAGGCTTTAGGCCCTGAAGTCACATAGGACTTGTGGCATGCATTGGTTTTGGAAAACCTATGTCGTGGTGTCCTGTGTGCTTCAAACACGCGCCAACTGGTCTCATGAGATAGGACTTGTGGAAGGGCTAGGCTCTATTGTATACTGTGATTTTTTATCCGAAGGCTTATGACTGACCTAGGTTTTGTGGATTATCTGCCTCTTCAGTTTTTTGCATTGTGACTTGGGACTTCAGGTTTGAAGGTCCTTCTGCTAACTCCTGTGTCCTTACCGGGTTCTTCTATATATTATATGTGTCTGCAAGAGAGCAAATCCGCGGCCAAGTTGCTTTCAAATCCGGTCGGGTAGTAGCGCAAACTGAGAGCACACCGCCGACTTGACACTGCCTCACTGCTGTCCAGACCTGAAGTGCTCAACATGCGGCTCTTCGCACAACCTGCGAGTTTGAATGCTAACTTCAAAGCTTGTCACCCAAACTTCATATGTTTCTTGGCTGCGCTTACTCGCCACACACACACTTATGATTGGGTGTACGGAACTGAATGCCACATGCCACACGCCAGCCTAAGAAACCAAATCCTGAAAAGTCCAGGAGAACCCTATGGAGCCTGGAGGTCTTCAAAAGGAGAAAGGGCTCATGTCTGCCAAGCTCATTAGCACTTTACTGGAAATTGGAGTCAAAGCTTGTTCAAAAGTTCAAAACAGCAGGTACGTGCAGCTGATCAGTTGAGGTCACCATAGAGAGCTTCGTTCGGCACAGCTCTATGGGCCTCCTGTGCCCGCCTGCTCACGGTAAAAGAAAACAATTCAAAAGAATCCCTGTGACTACAAGGGGCACACACTTCGAACTTGGGTTTTCAGTTAACGCAATTGCCACGATGGGA